TAACCATATCATATAATCCCCATCAGAAACTCATCCAGCGCTCTCTGGAAACTAGCTAGAACGTATGCCCTCAATACCGGAAGACTGTTCCACAATTTTACACCTCTGATGTATAGTTTTTACCCAGTTATTATTTTGCCCACATTGTCCTCCAACTTAAGTATCTTTTCTCCCTCAGTGATATTTACCTCAATAATGTATTTATACACAACAATCACATTTCCTCTCGGGCTACATTTTGCTAGACTAAGTAAGCCAAGTTCTTTTAGTGTCTTTTCATAAAGCCGGCTTTCCATTCCCCTGATCATCCTAGCTACTCTTCTCTGCACCTGTTTCATTCTGAAGTCATCTTTCTTCAACGTGATTAACCAGAGAATTGTGCTCAGCTCCAAATGAGGTCTAAAAGGGCTTTGTGCAATGGTACTAGTATTTCCTTATCTGTATGAGAATACCTTCTTTGGTACATCCTAGGATTACGCTGGCTTTTTTCATGTCTACATCACATTCGTGGCAGACAACCATCTTATGATTAAGTAATGCAACTAAGTTTTTCTAGACCTCTGTCTTTTCCATATCATAAGCCTCCACCTTATACCAACATTTCTTATAAATCCCTAAGAGCATGATCTTCCAATTTATATTATTAAATTTCATCCTATTTCTATAACTGGTTCTCAAAGCCAGCCAATAATTCTTGTACAATTTCCAGTCCTCCACCAACATTTTTCTGCAACTTTACTTAACAAGTTCCTACCTTCTGTGCACAGACATAAATGAGAAGAAGATGTTCCTGAAACTAAACAGGAAAGCACACCAAGTTTTATTATATACTTCATGGGGATATTTCTTAAATTTAACAGATTGGTCCTGTGGTATACTGCTAGCTTGGATTTCCTAACAGATTTATCCCTTACTGGTATAAGACTCACACTTCCTATTCACCAGGACTTACTTTTTTACCAGACCATTCTGAGCCCCATACACAAATCTGCCTCAGATACCAGAGCCTATAAGTAGGGACCTACTCAATTCACAATTTCATGGAAATCACACAAATCGGGCTTTGTCCGTGACATCAGACAACATCCACAAAATGCACAAAAAATTACTAAAAATAAAATGTTGGCTCCCCAGTGGGAGTCCTTAAAGCCACTGCAGCCTGGCTACACAGCCCACCAGGGGGAAGGGTGGGGGCTGCTGGAACAAAGGGGAGCAGCCAAGATGGCTGCAGCCCCCACCCCTCACTGCTAACTGGCTGAGGGCTGCCTGTTATGCAGTCCCACCCCTCTCCACCAATCAGTAGCTAGGGGTGGAGCTGCATGATGGACAGCCTTCTCAACCAATCAGCAGCATGGAGGCAGGGCCACCAGGGCCCCTTAGCCAGTAAGGGGGAATGGAGGGGGGAGACCCTGCCATGGTAAGCCCACGAAAATGGGTGGCGGGCCCCACAATCTGCCTAGGAAGTTGGCCACCTGCCTCCTTGACTTTGGTAGGTCCCTACCTATAAGCATCAGTTACTGGGAAAGAGGTAGGGTGATCAAGTGCACGTTGAATAGGAAGATAGCTAACAAATTTACCTTGATATACATTTTGAACGGCATACTATTACATTTTTAAACTCCTTAGCAGTGCATTCCTTCCAACTTTCTCCAGCCAAACCGCTATCCATTTCTCTAGGCTAACCAGTAAAGAATGTCTTCTAGAAAAGTTTTACTACTAATCAATATCAAGTAGCTCTGACAATTGTGGTTAAGCAAAATACTGTTCTTCCTCACGCTCCATTTGAGATGCAACCTATTTTGTCTATTAAAAGACTTAAAACCTCACCAAATTTGAGGATAATGATCAGGAGAGTCAGAACCTTTTTTCTCATCTAACCCTGGAAATTGCATATTCACATGCCAGCTTTCTTGCTGTAATAAACACACATGGTCCCATTTTCACTCCTGAATACTTGAGGTTCAGCTTGAAACAGCCTTGTATTTCAGTTACCATTCTTAAAGCACTGTATGAAAAATATGAATGTTATGTTTGACATAGGCGCGCACACATTTAACCTTCTGTTCTGAACTTGGGGACAATTTGGACAAGTACTTAAACAGTGAATTAAAATGTATCACTGCTCAAAATCCTGCCAAACCTAAATCTGACATGAGCCTGACAACTTATGCGCAACTATTTCAAAGAAACATTTGTTTGCTTTACATTTTTAGGTCTACTTCTAGGCCAGGTCCTGGCAAATTACTCGGAACAGAAAGGTTACTTTTGTCATAAATCAAAGATTATCACAACCTTCTCAAAGCAAAAGATGAGCTGAGCCAGGATACAGTTCAGAACCTTAAAACCTTCTCATTAGTTCTCTAATGGAAAAAATGAAAGCTAATAAAGCACAGTGTAAGTAAGTGCATCTCTATCAGTGCAGCAAATACAAGACAGGATTTTACATGCAAAATTAAGCTTTCATCCTTTCTACCAAGAGAACAAGAGAAGGGAAACACTTAAAACTAATCAATACCAACCTCTCCTGCAAATGGATTAATAGACACTGTTTAACCTGAGTAAAAGAACCATACAGTCAAGGACATTTTCCTTGAAAATGAGGATTTATACTCAAACTGTTTCCCAGTTCAAATTTCTGCAATATATAAATCTTTCAAACACTCAGAAATCCTGAGTTTCCTTTGAGGCCAATGAGAGAACAAGCCCCCCATGGTGCTAGAAGCAGCACATTATGGCACCCACTGAGGGCCTTCTTACACAGTAATTTTGGGAAGCTCCTCGAGCTCTTAACCTCGGGACTGCTCACACATTAACACTGTAAAGTGGCTTTAAGCACTCATTAAGTAGCGCACTTTAAGCACTCCAAGTGAAGCCACTCCAGGGTAGGATTCTCTCTGGTCCGCACTACCCAGTTTCTGTTCCATTAAGGTGTGGCCATTCCCCACAGGCGTGTCACCTAAATTGATGTCCTCCAATATCCCAGGACTCTCACACCCCTGGCTGTAGAGCAGGGGTAGATGCTTGTCCTGGCTCACCAGCTCTCTAGTGGCAACTCACATCTACAGCCCCTAGTCCTGCCCCTGCTCACCAGGCCTCTAGTGGCAAGTCACAGCTGCGCAAGTGGGGGACAGTCAGTGAAGATTTCTAGACTAAGGGTGCAACTGCTCCAATTTCCAAGCTAGCACCAACAATGATCAAAATTTGTGCAGCTCACAGTGTAAGGTGTAACAAGGCCCCGAGATACTGAACTACAAATTGAAACTGTAAATTAGAGATTCATGTTACTGAGATTATACTTTCAGCCATAATTTCAGTCACTGATTCCACAAAAATGGCCAACCTGATCTAAATTAGACTGCCTTAGAGGTGGAGTCAACTTAGATGCGGTCGGGCATTTTTGTATTGATCTAGTCTTCCTGAAACTTCTGTACAGTTCACATTCAAATCAACCTAAGGATCTAAGTGTAAGGTTTGAACCCAGCCATTTTTAATGTGAGCTAACTTCCCCCTAACCTCCCCTACTGTTTATATGCAGCCTAGGATGGTCTTTGCCATCCTAGTTAAACTGGCTCGATGGTCCAGAATGTGACAGCAGTGCAGCATAAATCCATCACACTACACCAGAAGTTAAGGTCTAATATCTTACTTTTTTGTTGAAAATAAGTGAAATTATAGCAGCCACTATGTTCATTCTAATTATGTAATAAAACATGTATAAATTCCACCCTTTCCAGCTCTAAAAGTGCTACGATTGAAACAATTGTGATAGTAGATTTACTCAATAATTTGACTTCTTTTTATGGTCATTTCCACACAAATTAATTAAACCCTGAATGTCCTACTGAAAATGAGATTTCTGAAATCTTAAAGACAAAGGAGAAACATTGCCCAAGAAGAACAGTTCCTTTTCATTAATTTGGTTTGGCTTGTGAGTCTTCTGAAAACGACTGTGCACCTCAAGAAACAAGCAGCTGATCTAGTTAAGAAAATACTTTAACACGCTGCAGTACATAGGTTTTCATATAGAAAAAAAGAGCATCAGAGGAATATGAAAGAGATATCAATTGCCATTGAAAACCAAGAAATTAAAGGTGTTCAGCATGACTGGGTCCTTAGTTTAACTTCTTTTAACAGAACAAAATACTTTCTTCCAGTAATTTAAGATTTTACTTGCAATTTAAGTGCATCACAAACAGTCTGTTAGCATTCTGAATATTAAATGCCCACTAAAAATTATGTTTTCTGTGTAATCTTAAAGATGTACACAAACAAAACTTCTCAAAAGGTACATTTTCATACATACTTGTGTTATAGAAGGGCTTTAGTATGGAGGAGAGGTTAGATATAGTAGTAATGCTAATACTGTCTGCACCATTTAACTTGGCCACAACACTTCCAAAACTTTCAAAGCCATTTTTAAACATTATTTGAAACAAAAGATGTAATATTTAAAATCATTAGAACATCCTTCATTTCTTATTTTTATGGACTTTTAACATGGCAAGTAAGTTAACACTACCTTAACAAATAATTTTCAGTACCACCTAAATTCCCTGATTGTCAGGTTACATTTAAATGCTAATGTAATAACTATTGGAAAAGAGTAATTTAAGAAAATGTCTAAATAAAGATCTTAAGATAAAAAAGATACTATATTGTGATTTGCAACATTTTCAGGGTGGGCGGGAGGAGGTAGTGGAGAAGTGAGAGGATTGATTATGTCATCAAGAGAAAACAATCTTTCTTCATAAAGAGAAAACAACCTCTTTCTTTCCATTTTACCTAATCTTTAGCTTGTACTTTAAACAAGGAAGTGACAGAAGTGACACTGCAAAAAAAAAAAAGAGTTTCATCACACATGATAAGAAAAACTTTTAAATTCCATTTTTCAAATGTTTTTGTTGTTGAGATTCTTAATGAAGATATTCATTCTGCTTCATAAATCAAGTCTGTGAAGTTTAAACCTCGATTGATCAAAAAATCTTAGGTACAGTGCTTACCTATGTCATATGCCAGAAAGTCAGCAGAAAAGCACTTTGCGCCATTACTCAAAGAAGTGTCATTGTGGGTGTTTCCTCCAAAAATGAGCATAGCTCCACTGATGAGAACGGCTGAATGAAGATACCTTGCAAAACCACTCTCTTTCATGATAGTCCTAGAAAACAAAAATAAACTATTAATACATTATAATACATGAAAAGTCTTTTTATAATAGACACTGAGAAAAATTACAGCTAGGAACTTATACAAAATGCACCCAACCACTTGATTTAAGCATAGGTGGTATGCAGTGAGCATAATTTATTCTGATCATTTCTGAGGTGATAGAGTTGTTCATATTATAATGAATATGTTTCTACCTCAATAAAAAGATTAAACGCTATAGGATAAAATTATTAGTTTAGCAACTGACTTATCTGAAAAATCACATCAGACTATGCATTGCTTAGAAAAATTGTTTGCTTAAAAAAGATTAATGATACACTATTTTTAATGCAAAAATTCTATTAAACATCAAACATAATATTTGCTAAAGAAATACAGGAAGTGGACTGGCAATAGCAAAATACTTAGGAGACTTCAAAGAGTCTCTGACTCTTCTAATTCTAGGTTACAGAAACTGCCTAGAAAATGTATCCCTTTTCTTGGAACCAAGGCATTAGAACTAGGGCAGGCAGACTGTGGAATTACTTTTTTGATTATAGTGGATATGTTTGACCAAAACCAATGGTTGTGCAGTATTTCCTAAAGGTATTATCACAGAATCATAGAAAATCAGGATTGGAAGGGACCTCAGGAGGTCATCTAGTTCAAGCCCCTGCTCAAAGCAAGACCAGCCCCAACCACATCATCCCAGCAAAGGTTTTGTCTAACTGGATCTTAAAAACCTCCAAGGATTTTTAAGAACACTGCTTTCTAGGTAACCTGCTTCAATCTTTTGCTACCCTCTTAGTAAGAAAGTTTTTCCTACTGTCCAACCTAAACTTCCCTTGCTGCAACTTGAGACCATTGCTCCTTGTTCTGTCACCTGTCACCGCTGAGAACAGTCTATCTCCAGCCTCTTCAAAACCACCCTTCAGTTAGTTGAACACTGCTATTCAATGCCCTCTCAGTCTTCTCTTCTCCAGACTACATAAGCCCCATTCCCTCAGCCTCTCCTCCCAAGTCATGTGCCCCAGTCCCCTAACTATTTTTGCTACCCTCCACTAGAATCTCATTTGTCTACGTCCTTTTTGTAGAGGGGGTCTGTAACAGGTGGCCACTTGGGGCTGGACTAAAATGTGGCCCGCACACCTGCTCCTGGGGCAACCGCCCGCCTTCTCTCCTGCCATGCCTTGCTGTTAATTAATTGATGTTAATTAGCGGGAGGCTGCCCTTGTACTG